GGGCCATTGTAACTGCATGAGCAGCCATGCGTGAACGCGTGCAATTCCTTTTGCGGGCCTGGGGTAGTGCTGGGTTGCATATGTGCCATCTCAAGGCCTGTGTGTGTGAGGCTGTGATGGCTGGTGATTGTGATTCCTTGGAGGCTGAGGGGTGGTGGATGCCAAGGGCACTTGGGGCCCATCCTCCTCTAACTCTTCAGAGCTGGAGGATTTCAAAAATTATTAAATATTGTATATATGACATAATATCATTAACATATATGTTCAATGTAAGGAATAATGATAAAATAACCCCCATGGGTGTCTACCACTCAGTTTAAGAAACAGAACATGACCAAAGAAGCCCCTCTCTTCCGTAATAATTATCCTACATTTCCTGTTCTTTGATCCCTTACTTTTGTTTTGTTTGTACCTTATGACATATGCAATATCTTGTTTAGTTTTTCCTCATGGAAATGGAATCACACCGGTTCTGCTCTCTCTACACCGGTTGTGAGATACCTTCACATTGAAGTGTGTGGCGATAATTCATTTTTAAACATTTTTATTTATTGATTTTAGAGAGAGGGAGGGGGAGAGAGAGAGAGAGAGAGAGAGAGAGACAGAAAGAGAGAGAGATTGATTTGCCCTAACCTGAAACCTTGGCATATTGGGATGATGCTCTAACCAGAGTCTATAATTCATTTTTTATTGCTGCATAATATTCTATCCTATGAGTATATCATTAGTATATGAGTGCCTTGGCAAGGTATTTCAGTTGGTTAGAGCATTGTCCTGATACACCAAGGTTTCGGGTTCGATCCCTGCTCAGAGCACACATGAGAATTAACCAGCCAATGCATAATAAATGGAACAACAGATCTCTCTCTCTCTGAAAAATCAATAAATAAAAAATTTTAAAAAGCGTATGAGTATATCATGGTTTATGGACGCATTCTCAATGTCACTAGACATTTGGGTTGTTTCCAGGCTTTTCTTTCTTTCTTTTTTTGCTCCTTCCACTTTTATGCTATTACAAACAGTGCTGCTGTAATTTTTAATGAACTTGTGTCCAGTAGCATATGAACAAAAGCTACACTGAAGGGTAATACCCCAGGAGTGGGTCACAGGAGATGTACATCTTTTTAGACATTGCCAAAATGTTCTTCAAAGTTATTTTGGCAATTGATTGCCAACCAGCAACGTATGAGAGTTTCCATTTTTTGCACGTCCATGCCAACATTGGCCATTATTAGACTTTTTGCCTTTTTAGCAACTTTTTGGCTGTGTTATGCATCGTATCTCACTGGTATTTTAATTTGCATTTTCCTGATTACTACTTAAGTTTACTATGTTTCATATGTTTAGTAACTGCTTTTGTTTCCTTTTTGTGAAATACTTGATCATGAATTTTGCCTGTTTCTTATTGCTTTTAAATGTTCTTTGAATATTGGATACTAATCCTTTATTCGGTTTGTGTTGCAGGCATCTTCTCCCACTCTGGCTTGCTTTTGGTTCTTATTTTTAAAGTTAATTATATTTTATTGTTTTGATTTTAGAATGAGAGAAACATCGACGTGAGAGAGAAACAGGGGTGGGTTGCCTCCTGCACACGCCAGAGCGGGAATCGAACCCTCTACCTTTTGGTGTACTGGACGATGCTCCAACCAACAAAGCCACCTGGCTAGGGCTACTTTTCATTCTTTTTATGGTGTCTTCAGACAAAAAGAAATTCTCAGTTTTAATGTAGTCAAATTTATTTCTTTTCCATTTTCTCAAATTTGGGTCAGTTGTTCCTACATGATTTATTGAAGAAGTCTGAGCTGTCCCCACTGCCCTGCAGTGCCACCTCTGTCATGTAGCAAGTGTCAATATGTGTGGGTCTGTTTCTACGCTCTCTTTAATCCTGTTGTTTCCTGTGCTGTGTCTAATCTTCTGTTTAACTTGCCTGTTTAGTTTTTAATTTGATTTAAAATGTATTCCTAGATGTTCTAGATGTTTATTTCTCAAATCTTCATTCATAGTCAGTTTTATGTCCTGGCTCATACTTTTGATACCCTCTTTTATTTCTTTAAATTGATTGCAATTATATCAAAGCTGTCTGAACTGCAAATTAGTCACCGGGTAATTTATTCTACAGATAGACTTGCATACATGCCAAATGATATATGAACACCATTATTCACTCCAGCATCATTTATAAGAAGGCAAAAGATTGGAAACACCCGCAATGTTCATCAATTGAAGACTGGTTAAATATTGTACATCCACACAAAATGGATTCAATGCAGAAGATGGGGGGGAGGGAAGAAAGACACAAAAGAAAGAAAGGATGTTTTTAAGAACCAGATGTAGATTTACATTCCCAAAAGCAAGGTGTGAAGTCTGCTACCTTTTGGGTAAAACAAGTGGACAGTAGGAACCTATAAAATGCAAATATAGGCTCCCATTGTCCACAATATTAACATAGAAAAGTCTATAGCTGTCTTATCTGCCATTTCCAGAAGCCCTAAGGCAAGTTCTGAATCACTGGGAAAT